GCCAATTTTGAGGCCATTGCTCATTATTCATTCTTAGTCATCTCTTTGTCCTCTTTTGTTCTGACATTCTGTAGAGAATGGGCTTTTAAATGGAATGGCCATGTTACATTTCATAATTCCACACAGAAGTTCTGAGAGAACATAGAAGCTGGTAGATGAAATCTAGCTCATTAAAAGCCACATGTTTTCATCTTTGCTCATCACATCTGGAAATTAGGATGTGACACAAGTCATATTAAAATTCATGGGATATGCACCTAAGGCCAACGAGCTCATTCTTAAAAGCTGCTGGTACAAGAAGTTTAAGCAAAAGCTTTAAAATTACAATCAACCTGCTGGGTCACAGGAGGGCTCCACTTTCTCTGGGCTTCCCAGGAATGGCAGCCAGATCCAAGGTTTAAAAGAGAGGATACCAAGGGGCTAGAAAGCAGCAGCACTCTAGCTAATCCCATCCAAACCCACAGTTTTGGCCAGCCTTGCTGATTCACAGGCTACCTTTTCCTTCTGTGTTTCCTTCTGCTCTGGCTGGAAACCTGGTGGATCTTTCTGGCCTCCTCTTAAATCCTTCCAGCTATTAGTTTAGTGCCATATGTATCATTCTCTTGTATCTTCTACTAGGGAACAAATTCATCATTCAAATGCCAGTAATACCATAAACTTGTCGTGTTTTTAACTTCACACCCTCATCACGTTTTCCTCACCATTTGGGAACAAAATCTTGCCCACTTTTCCTGAGTAACATCTCTATGATTCAGCTTTTCTCCCTTCAGGCTCTCATTGATCTCTCCATTATCTCATATCTTGATAAACACCTCAATTAATACGTTATCAGTCTATATTTATACATGCAAATTATTTCTGTCAGATCATTTTAAGCTGCTTGTATTGGCCGTTTAATCTTCTTTTTGCCTTCCCTCCCTGACTCCTCCTCAGACTCATGGTCCTGGGAGGTTCTGACCCATTGAAGACATTTCTGTGCCCCACAGCAATTTAAAAAGACCCCACAAACCAAAGTTTTTAAGAATTACGTTGTTGAACAGGTGGCACAACTACATAAAAATGAGCAAATATGGGCCATTTAAACAGTGATGCAGCTGGAGAGTTTTGTTAAGCCTGGGGAAAGCAACAGGTACAACAGGATGAAGGAAACAATGAGTTTGAAAGCTCAGAAGACACTGCAAGGTTTGTGAAACACAGAATAAATGTGCTGTGAACCCCCTTCTGAGCACTGCCAGATAAATAATAAAACATCACAGTTTTTACTTTCCCAAGGCAGTCAGAGCTGAGGCATGGCCAGAACAAGGACAACTAGAACAAATGTCACTTTTGCAAATCTTATCAAAATAATTGCAGATTTAATTGGAGCAGATTTGAGCTCAACAGGATTGACTGTGGGAAGTGTTCAGCCACGACCCAGAATGATTTTCTACACTGTGTTGGTGGGGATCTCAGCCCCATAAACCTCTCTGGGGTGAGCTCTTGTCTGCCTGCAGACAGACCCCTCAAAGCATCTGGAGGGCAGCTGAGATGGTGGATATGAAACTATATGAAAGGCCTCATAAAAGAAAAACATTGTTGTTAACAAGGCTCTTTCCACTGATTTGAATAGGCTTTGGATGGAGGCCTAAACAAACATTTCTGGAATTAGAAAATGGAAATATGTATATACAGAAGCCTGTCAATCCAACTGTTTACCTTCCAAGGATGACCTAGTAGCACATTTAGGAGTCATTTAAAAGGCAAGGAGGCAGGCTGATACTTTTATCTGATTCAAGTATTGCAAATATTGATCCTAATAATACTTTTTAAAAAACCCAAAACAAACAAACAAACAAAAACTAAAACCAAAAACACAAACCACATTGCAACCCCACTGGCGCCAGTAGGTTTTCTTCCTACACTGATATTTCACAGATTGAAAAGATCTACATTCTCACCACTTCAGTGATCAGCTTCAATAAACTGAGTCCATGTCATCTGTTATGTGCTGTGTCCTTCAGACTCCTACGTTGGGTTTCAACTTTGATTCAAAGCTCAGGCTGATCAGGACCAGCTGCTGAGCCAAAGGGCAGATCACACATCCCCCTTCCTCTACTTTCCTCATCCCAGCTCCCAGCCAGACTATTGTTTGTTACAACTAATTAATCCCTCATGCCCTGGCTGCCAGTGAGCCTCACAAAACAGCAAATCTTTGTATTTATGCATGTCCAGTAAATTAATTCCTGTTCTGGGTAGATGTATAAACACATAAAAGTATAACCCATAAACGTATACATATATCCACAACACACATCCTTGTACAGCCAGATTTGCAGTGGATGTTCATGGATTTCTGTTTGGCAGCTGCTGTTTTTTCCAGCTATCCTCTTAAAAGGTCAAATGTGAGGAATTGTAGGGATGTATTATTATTTAGGCAACTCTACGAGGGGCCAGGTTTTCAGATCTTGGTTCCAAAGCAATCCCCAGTGACACGGTGACATGGCACTATGAGTTGGTGTCACTGCAGTGGCAGGACCTGCCCCTTGCCTGCCTTTGGGAAAGAAGACAGGAGAAATTTCCAATATTATAGGCAGAACTTTTAACACTGCCTACAGTTAAAATTCCTTGACACTTCCTGCTGCAACCCTCCTGGTTTTGTGTATGTCTTTAACAAATGGTAACCATTCTCTGCTGGGTGTTTGCCTCATGGTTTAGTTATGGCTGTTTCTGTAAAATACTTCAGCTGCTCCCAAGGAAATATGCTGCATTTTCCCATATTAAATTAAGCCTAACAGCCAGTTTGATGAGTTGGTGGCAAACCTCCATATGCTGGAGCAAGGAGCAAAGGTATGGTGGAGAGGACTGGTTGTTTGGTTTACTTCTGGCTGGCTTTTTTAAAGCTCACAGGCTTTAAAACCTCTTCTGGCCCATGGCTGGTGAAAGCTTGGGGCCTGATAGCTCAGCTCTGTCACAAGAGCCTGCTTTGGAAGGAGGGACTGAAATATTTCCAGCTGCTTTCAGTGGAGCATCAGGAACCTCTGCCATGCTTCCCTGCACCTTGTGCTTGGTCGTGCTGAGGAAGAGGAGGAAGTGGAGGAAGGATCTAACCTGACTGAATGCCTGGTAGAGTGGAAAGTAAAAAGCACACAATGGAGCTGGCACACAATGGAGTGTTTTCTGGGAAAGGTTTGGGGAGGTCTTTTCCCTTTCTAATTCCGTAGTTTCATATATAGAAAACTGAATGTGATTTCATTTGTAAAATCAAACATTCTTAGGAAATGATCAAACTCAGACTATCTGTAAGACTTCAGTGTTCTTCCCTGGTAGGTCAGCAGTGAAATAGAGTTTAAATTTTGTACTGTTGTGTCTATTGTGCTTAAACCAAGCCAGGTTTGGAAGGAATGAGTGTTGCACAATGAAGGAGGTTGGTACCAGTCCAGCTGATGCCTTCTATGCACCTGTAAGGAGCTCAGTGCAGTGGGTGGGAATCAAAGAAGGTGTATGTTTGTAAAGATAAAATAACACTAGCCACACAGACTGGATGCTATCCTCACCCCTGATGTGGTGCTCCAAATTTGATGGAGTATGTGTGATGCCACGGTGCTGGGAAAATTGGGAAAAAGTCAACAGGACAGGTGAAAGCTGAGCTGAACTTCAGAACATCCCACTACAGGCTTGAAAGGGGTATTGCATTCTGTACTTCCCTGGAAGTGTTCAAGGCCAGGCTGGATGGGGCTTGGAGCAACCTGGTCTGGTGGGAGGTGTCCCTGCCCATGCAGGGGGTTGAAACTGGATGATCTTTAAGGTTCCTTCCAGCCCAAACCAGTCTGGGATTCCATGATCATGTCACTCCTGCCTGGAGTGACACCACCAGTCCAGACTGCTGCCCCACAAATTGTTGTCCAGGTTTCAGAAATGGTGCTTTAGCACTGATAATTACTATAAAAATATTCATCTTTGCTTATAAAAGACTAATGAATTTCTGCTTGCAATAAGGTTCACTTGAAAACACTTTCTTTGCCACCTGTTAGATGTAACTGGGAGAAGCAAATGTCACCCTACAACCCCTGAGCCTCCATTTTGCTGCACCCCTGTATTAATGATTAAATTGCAAACTTTGTGCATCTGCTCCAGCTGTTGACATCAAAAGTTTCCTCCTGCAGTAAACGGGAGTGGGACTTGGCCCCAAATTTTACAACTCTAAAATTCATCACAGGGACCAAACTCACTCCTGAGTGTCCCAAACCAGTAAAGTATCTAGGAAACACGGAGGGAAATGATTCTTCTTTCAGGGTGGTGCAATTAGCTCTTCATGGAAACAACTGGATGGTAAAGGCAGATCAGGTTTCTGCAAACTTTAATAATCACATATTTTCAGCCAATTAAATGCAGAAAATAGAGAATGAGATTAAGGGGGGGGCCTTTTCATTATAAGGCACTTCTTTTGGTTAACTTCTTTACTTTTCAGCTCAGTGACTACATTGAGCTTGTTATGGCTCAGTCTTTTACAGGAAGATCTTTGTTTACATCTCCTCCTCTGGAGGGCTTTAAAGTGAAATCTCAAAGAAATGCACAGGTTTGTAAGTAAAATTAATTCAGGGGCCTCACTTACATTAAAAGGACAAGAGGTTAAGTAAAGTGTCACCAAATACAATCAGCTTTCAGTACAGAATGTCTCTCCCCTTTTGCTTTTAGCACAGCAGCTTTAACAGCAAGCCAGTTGTCAAGTGTAATTAAGGAGGAAAATTTTATATACTAGCTAGAGCACAGCATAATTAATACATTACTGCCCTGCAATCTCTTTAATTGATGAGAAAAGGGTTAAAAAGGCTCTAAAAGTTTTCCAGATCTTTTTCTGTGGGATATTAAAAATTATTGTGTTGGCATCATCGTCACCACGAGCACATTTATTGTTATTATTACCAAGGCTGCCGTTAACTGGATATTCATTAACGTTAAAAGTCACAGTCAGCGTGAGACTCAGCAGACTCCAAGCACTGGAGGAGGAGGTGGAAAGTTACCTGGTGGAGTTTCAAGAATGGATTTTCCCTTTTTGCTGTTTTTCTTCGGTTTTAACTCTTTCCTGCTCGCTTTGAACCCCGGGTGCTCCTCTGTGTCCGCAGCACGGGCAGGTCCTTCCTCTCCAGGTTGCTCCGTGAAAGGAAAAAACTCTTCCCCGGGGTAAGGAAAGGAATAATAAGGATCCCTGTTGCTAATCTCCTGCAGGTAATAATCCTGGTCGTCCATGGGTACCGCCTGGGACACGTCCCCCAACAACACCAGCCCAAAGGCGCAGAGAGCGAAGCCGAGCGGAGAAGAACATGAGCCTCCCTTGCTAAGGGCAATCATTACCCTTTGCTTTTGCAGGAACCTCCTCTGCAAGTCCCAGAACTTTATTTGGAACTAGGGAAAACAAGAGAGGCTCAGCAGCTGGCAGGTCCCCCCAGGAGAGGCAGAGGGCTGGAGGAGCTCGGCTGCCTTGGGCGACTTGTGCCAAAGTTGCAGGGAGCGGAGCGGGATGGAGGGCTGGGAGGGAGGGGGCAGGACGGGGATGCATGTGATCCTCAGGCTCACCAGCCAGCCAGCCAGCCAGCCCAGCTCCCTGCTCCAACAGCACTTGGCAGGTGGGATCTCCAGCCTGGTTAACTCGCTGCTTTTCCTCCCCTGCCTTGCATATGTTTTTGTTTTTTTTTCATTGGTGTCGCTGCTTTTGTCCGAAAACCAGTTACAAGACAGTTTCAGCTAAACCCCCCCCTAAGCTTTTCTGTAGCCTTCCCGCCTGCAGCTGATCCAAGAGAGCACTTATTCACAGAAAAGTAAACTTGGCAGCCAGCCTTCCCCTCCCAGCCTGCGCACAGAAGTGTTTCCCACCCCCAGGAGATGCTGTGCAGCTGGGGGTGGGCACAAGAGCTGGGGATGGACCCTGCCTGTGGCTGGCAGGGCTCAGCTGCCTGCTCTTGGACCCCGGGCATGCACCAAGATCCCTGTGATGTGGCTGTGTGGCAAATGATCCTCATTTTTATCTGCTCTGTTCCAGTCCCCTTCATGGTATTTTTTTTCCTGCTTCACTTTTACAAATGTAGGATCCCTCTCCAGCATCAATCTCAGCCTTCCTTGTTTATATTAGTTTCTACATATAAAACTGATGTACAGTTTATATATGACTTATATTACTTTAATGTGTTTTATATAGGTGGAGAAATATAAATAACATCTCTAAATATATATATAATCTAATGTAAGTTATCTATAAATAAAACAACTCAACACATAGCATGTGGCAATTCATAAGACATTTCTCCTATGGTACATGGGAGCTCCCTGGACTCAGCCCAGCTGAAATCCAGCAAGGAGGTATTTTATCAGTCCCCATTTTTTTTCACTCTTTTTGGGATGATCCTGACTTTTCTTCTCTCTGAAACATCTCCTGAACAGCTCAGGATATTGTGCTAGCAGCTGCACACATGCGACCCAGTGTCGTTAATGGAATCAATTTGTCTGAGCATAAAATCTGATCTTTCATCTTTTCCATACCTCTAAAATAACCTCCAGTGCTGAAGGAAATGTGCAGCAGTTGGCTCACATGAAATATGAATCCTTCCTCCTGTGTTGAAAATACCAGCTTATATTTTCATCATCTATATTGTATTTCTTCCCAGTGTCCAGTCAGCTTGGAGAAAGGATTACATCTGTTACCCCACTCTTTATCCTGCTTTGCAGTCCCATTTTTGTATGTTCTCAGAACTTTAATACCATAATAAGCATAATTTCATACCTCTGTGCTTATATCTTTTGGTATATTTGGGTTCCAGGCTGTGAGTGATCACCCTTGCTTTCTTAGCCCCTACCCCAAAAGCAATTTTGTGATTATATTGTGTCTGTTGCCCTTCCCTTTAGACAAATGGAAACATGTTTTCACTAGCAAATCTATTTTCATCTTGATCTTCTATCTTTTTATAAAATCTGAAAACTATTACTTTTTGTATTATAAATATAGGAGTTTTCCCTTTCTAAAACTAGAATCAAATATACTTTGCTTTTGTCACTGCTTTACTGCATTATGTTTTGGGTTTTTTGGGGGGTTATTTTGTTTTTTTTAAAATTTAATTTGATGAAAAAGCTGCTCCTGGTGAAATTTTCAGATGGTTTTGTCTGGACTGTCACCTTTGGCACACTGGGTGCAGTGACTGCGATCTGGTGTGTGGGGCAGGCTGGGTGCTCCCTGTCTGCAGTGGGAGGCTGGATATCCTGAATATCTCATCTTAGCCATTTCCCAGCTGTGCTTACTTTCTTTTCCCTTTCCAAAATATCCAGTCCTCTCCTCCCTCGGTCCTAACTCCTGAGGGCAGAGCACAAGCTACAGAAAACCTGTACAATTTTGCTCCCATTTGCAGCACAGTCACTCTTTTGCAAACACTGTGGGCACACAGATACTTAAAGGAGCAATAGAAAAATAGAATTTTCCATCCTTAATGACCAATATTTTTGGTAGCTAAAGGAGCTTAAGCTGCAAATTATTATTTCACTCGTTGCAGGAAGCAAAGAAGGATACACAGAAACAGAAGGGGATTTACATTTCCAAGAATAAGAAGTACTTCTATATAATACAGAGCCAAGTGTCCATTAATTAGAGACCTGAGGAATGCAAATTTGAGGGAATTTTACATTTCCTGCTTTTGGCAACTTTACATGTGTACACTTCAGCAATGTATGTATGCAAACACCACGTATTTTCTCTCCCATACCCTTTCTACAGAGACAACTGTGTGGTCTTTTTTACTTGTTTTTAATTTATCCTGTACGTTTTAATAATTTATCCTTTTGGATTTGAAGCTTTTAATGGGAGAACATGCATAGTAGATGTGTATGTATGGGTGCATGACTATAGCTGCATAAATATAGCAACAAAAAACTTCTTTTGTCAATAAAAAACCCTCTCCTTATTTAATAAAGGTAACAAAACACATTTAAGTGGCACACATATCCACCCAAATATTAGCCAGATCACCCGTCACAATACCTTATTATTCAGGAATCAAACAACTCATTGCTTTATGTTCCTGTTATTTAAGTGAGGTGTTGATGGTAAAATGAGGGGTCAAATCATGTGCCAGCAGCATTTCATCTCATGCTTTCATCTCATGCTTTCATCTCAGCCCTAATAATGTCTGAATGTGCCAGCAGGTTACAAGCAAAGCAGTGAAGATCTCAGTGATGTTTCCATGCGTTGCTATGAACTCAGAGCCCCTGCAAGGGCCTCCTCACCAAGGGGTCTGAGAGAAGGGTCACCAGAGGAGCTTGCACATTGTGGAACAGGGGAAGCCACGTCTGGGCAGGCCTCTGAGCCAGAAGAGAAGGCTAGTGAACACACTGTGGTCAGCCACGATGAAGAACCTAGCAGGTCTCAGCAAGGGACTCAAGGAGCGGCAGGTTTGCTCACACATCTCCCCTTGTGCAGGGAAGAACTTTGCAGAACTTGAAGTGGTGGCCATACCCACTCCTTCACCTCCTGCAGTCCCAACAAATAACTCTCAGGGAAGTTGTGGAGTCACCGTTCCTGAAGAGATTTGAAAGCTGTGGTGCTGAGGGACATGGATTGTCAGTGCTGGGTTAACTGTTAGACTTGATGATCATAAAGGTCTTTTCCAGCCAAGACAGTTCTATGATTCTACTTACCTGAAGAAAGAATTATTCACCCAAACATACCTATCAATATCTATTCCTGGGTCTTGACCTTTGTTGATAACCAGCTCCCCTGTGGATTTGAACACTTTCTGTGGCTGTGGGTGTGGATGCACTGCTGCTCCTTTCAGACCCACCTCTGGCTTTGGGGTGGGTGCACCCAGCCTGCTGGGGCCACACCAATGGCTGTCTCTAGGCAAAATTTTTGCCTTCCTGTCCATAAGAGGGTTTTACAGATTTGTTGTGTGCTTTTTTTTCTCTCTCTGTCAGCATCCTAGAAAGACACAGCTCACAGGAAAGGAGATGTTTTTATTTCTTGGAGTGGCAGGGGAGTATTCAGTTCACTGAAGGCTCAGATTTTTGCCTGTGAAGTATCACGATGGCTTTTAAAAGTAGATGTGGAAGGAGATAAAGCAAACTAATATTGTTGTAGAACAACTGTAACCAGCAATATCCTCCCCTCCTGGACAGATGCCAGGGATAAAGTGTAAGTCATTCCATATTTTCCTTTAAATCTTTGTCCTGCAGAAGTGAAACACAACATGACATTATCTGCAGACAAGCAGGGCTTTCCCCCTCTGCTCTCAAAACATGTTTATTTGCAAGATGATGGTTTACCCTCTAAGCTGAGTTAACACTTCTCAAGCTGTGCATTTTGAGCCGATTTCAACACCACCCCTGGAAAACAAGGCATTCCCAGCCCCAGCAAAGTGTTATCTTAGCCTGGCCCATGCCAACCCCAAGCTGGACATGCTCAGGTGCCAGCAAAGGGTGGGCACATTGAGTCACCCTTTCCTGCCCTTCTTGTGCCTCAAGATGGTGTTTCCCAGCCCTTACTTCACGTCTACCATTTTGACAATATCTGGCTTTAGCAAATTCAGTGGTTCTTGTTTGGGACAGCTGGGCTCTACGTGTCAAACTTTTCCCCTCCCACCTCTACAGCCTTCTTTCTCCCTCTCCGGTTGTTGACAACCACAACTTCACGAAGCTCAGATTCAGGAATGCATTTTAACATCATTTAACATCAGCTCAATGTGCAAGCACTGTCCTGCTTCAAGATCTTCGTTTGCGTTTCTACTACACAGTCAATGACTCAACTTCAAACTCCTTGGTGGCTCCTGCAGCTTCTCCTTCAGAATATGGTCATAGTTTTTGAGTTGGAGAAAAGCCTTGTGGTTGGAAAGAAAAGATGAAGAAATAGGCATCCCTCTTTCACTGCCATTCCACGGTAACTGTCTGAGGTAGCACATAAGGTTTCTATAAGTGTTGGCAACAAAACAAGGCTAAAAATAACTTTCCTTCCCAACACCAGTAAAGTTTCTGTTCCTTTGTACTTCAGAATGGAGTAAGAAAATGGAATTATGCTTTATAAACAGTCATTTTCTTTTCCACATCAAGAATTTACCCCTGCTGTCAACAAGGTCAAATCATCTCAGAGGAAATGGAAATCTAAAACTGACATTGGGGAATACAAGGTAAACTGCATTTCAGATTTATGTGTCTCTTAGTGGCCTGTTTCTTACATATGTAACAGAGACAGTTACTGGGTAGCAGTTCTTGTGCTTCCCTGTCTACACTGCCTGCATCCCTGGGGTACCCAGGCATTTAAAAGCCTGTTTGCACTTGTTGATAAGGCAGAGACTTGAAAGAGTGGAAACAATAACAAG